GTGTCGTGTCGTGTCGTGTCGTGTCGTGTCGTGTCGTGTCGTGTCGTGTCGTGTCGTGTCGTGTCGTGTTGTGTTGTGTTGTGTTGTGTTGTGTTGTGTTGTGTTGTGTTGTGTTGTGTTGTGTTGTGTTGTGTTGTGTTGTGTTGTGTTGTGTTGTGTTGTGTTGTGTTGTGTTGTGTTGTGTTGTGTGTGTGTTGTGTGTGTGTTGTGTGTGTGTGTTGTGTTGTGTGTGTGTTGTGTGTTGTGTGTTGTGTGTTGTGTGTTGTGTGTGTGTGTGCGTTTGCGTGTGTGTGTGTGTCTGTGTGTGAGTGCGTGCCTTCGCTGCCCCTGCCCCCACCTGCTCCCGTCCAAGCTGAGCCAAATAATTGGCTTGGCATCGCCCGGACGTGGGCATTTTTTCCTCGGCGAGGACCATCGAGGAGCCTCTAGGACCACCCCGCGGAACAAAGGAGGAGGAGGAGGAGGAGGAGGAATTGGAGGGAGGAAGGAGGAGGAAGGAGGGAGGGAGGGAGGGAGGGAGGGAGGGAGGGAGGGAAAGGAGGAAGGAGGAGAAGGAGGAGGAGGAGGAGGAGGAGGAGGAAGAAAAAACACACCGCGGGGAGTGGACGCCCGAGCGCTGGCAGGTGGGGCGCGGGCGGGCCAGGCGCGCCTGGCCCTCGGCCGCCCCGCTGCCTCGCGCTCGCACGCCTCCGCCGCTGGCGCAGCAGCGACACTCGGCGACCTCCTTCCCGTGCGGCGGGCTGGCGGCCACCAGCCTCGCGCTGCCTCCGACGGCTCGCCGCCACCGGGCGCTCGGCCGGGCCTCGAGCGGGCGCCCTGGCTGCACCGCCGGTGCGGCGGCTCCTGCGCGGCCACGGCCGGCCCCCACGCGATCTGCGCTCGCGGCCGCTGCTCGGACGGGGCCGGGACGAGGACAAGGTCCGTTCCAGAGCGCTCCGGGAGGACGCTCTCGGAGCGTTCCAGGGCGCTTCGCGAGAAGGCCGCGGCGCCCGAGGCATCGCCCGGAGCCGCCGGACCTCAGAGGTCTTCGATTCCAAGGCACCCGGTTTTATCCGCGTCCTGGCTTCGTCGTGCAAGGTTTTTCTTCGGAGCAGCCGCAGCAGGTGCACCTCGTGCCGCGGGCGGCCTCGCCGGGATCTTCCAGCCGCCTCTCGCTTTTGGTCCGCTGTTCCCCCGCCTGGGTCTCGCCTCTCCTCTCCGGTCCTGCGCCGTCGGCGTCGTCGCCTCGGCCTCTCGGCCGTTTGCCTGGAGCCCCTCGCCTCGCTTTCCGTCGGCGGCGAGCGAGGGGGGGAAGCAAGAAGGAAAAGGTCTTGTCAGAAGGCTGCGGGACCTCTCAGAAGACCTCGCGCCTTCTGAGAAGTCTTTCCGCATCTCCGGGGGAGGCTTACAGGACTTTTCAAGAAGGTTTGAGGACTTCCGAGCCTTCTGAAAAGGCCCTGTCCTCTTTTCCCCCGCAGGCTCGCCGCCGACTTCTGCATCTGGCCTGCCAGACGTTTCCGTGGCGCCTCCAGGTTTGCCGTTGGCCTCTTTTTCGCGCGCGTTTCCAACACACAAGTGGGCATTCGTTGCATCGCGGTTCCCGCATGCGCTCTGTCTTCTAGCCATGTTGGCTCAGATTCCAAACCGTGCCCTGAGGCTTGGAGCTTGGGCGCGGCCAATGGACAGGCTCGAGAGCCGCCCTCGGTCGACAGCCGACCTCGTGTGCCACGCACGCGCGAGATGCCGCCATTCCTTGTGTGCCCTGCCTGCTGCGATGCTGGTACCGTCTCTTGGATCTACTTTTTCAATCCCCGCAGGACCTGTGCGTTCTGCAAGGCGTATTTCCCTGGTGGTTCTCCCCAGGACGAAGACAAAGTGCAGGGACTGGGTCAGGGACGGACCAAGGCCACGGGCAAGAAGGGAACGCCTCGTGGGGCGGCCGATGGTTGAGCTGTCCGCTGCGGTTCAATATGTTCCTGCGTTGGACCGTCCTGTCGTTCGGCCTCATCGTTCGCCTTCTCGTTCTGCGACGGCAGCAGCGTCACGGCAGGCCGCAGGTACACCAGCAGTTGCAACAGCAGTTTCTATGGAAGTCGGCTCCCGTCCAGTAGCCAGAGTGGGCGCGTCATCTTCGCGAGAACCAGCCGAGGCGGCCCCATAAGAAACCGTCTCTCGCTTCTGAGCAATGGGCCGACTCTTCCCCCAATGGTTGATACCTCCTGGCAGTTTTGCTGATCTGGACGATGACACTACATACGACGCGGGGGCCTCGTCGGGCCCGTCTGAACTTAACCAGGGGGCAGCCACACTTTGGTCATGGTCGAAACTCTTGAGTCCTGCCTTCGGTCAATGTCACGAGCTGGACACACGCAGAGAGATTTGGCTGCCCACACTCGCTCCTTTGATGCAGTCGGTCTTCAGGAATTGCGTCGTTCTTCTGAGGGTCTTGATGCCGTTGCAAATGCTGCAAGCCGTCTAGGATTGCATGCACGCATGCATCCATCCATACGCACGTCTCAGGGTGGATTGAGCTCTGGGGTTGCTCTGGTGTCTCAGTATTCCAACCACTTTTCTGACATCCCCTTGGGCTCTGCTGTGGTCTCACCACCCCCTGAGCGATGCATCGCTATGCTCTGGCGCGGATTGGTAAAGATGGGCGCACCTTGATTCAATCTTTACTTGCGCACTGGGGCAGGGCCAGCAGATCGAAATGCGCAGTTGCTCATGCAGGTTGCATCAGTTGTTCGTGCCATCGGCTCTCCCCACTTCACATCTGCTGATTAGAATATGTCACCAGAAGAACTAGATGCAACAGGTTTTCTAGAATTTGTGGGCAGCATTGTGATTGCTCCTGGTGGCAATGCTTATGAGAGCGGCGGTGGCTTCTCCAAGATGGATTATTTTGTTGTCCACCATGTCTTGCTTGCAGCTACAGGCGAAGGTCTCTGCTCCCCTCTCATCCCTAAGCACCAGCCTGTCGTTCCGCGCATCAAGGGATCAGTGGGTAAGGCCCTTGCACCAATATTTCGGAGGCCTTTGGTTATCCCAGTCCAGCGCCCTATTGTGCGCTCACCTTGCCCTCTCTCCTGGGATTCTTTCCCGCGGACGGCCGACGAGATCGATCCCTTTTCCTGGGCTTGAGATGCAGACATCCTTGTCGTCAGAATCGTCTGCGGCTGATTTGGTTGGTTTATGACATCTCCCCGGTCCTGACGCGCATACGAAGCGGGGTGGGAATCCAACCGCGATGAAGGTTTCGGTTGCATCGCTGTTTCCTGGAGATGCTGCTCCTTCCTTCGATGGCAAGTTTAGGCGGTTTCTTGCCGATCGTCTCGGGGGTCTTTTGTGTCTCGCAGACAAGCAGTCTTGGGGAGCTTTCTCAGCCGCGGCTTCGCGTCTTAGGCGTTACCCCCGTCCAAACGAGAGGGCCCCCCTCCCGCGGATTGGTGGCGGTGGCGCAGCTATGCGCGACGTCTTCGCCATCTTGATATCGGCTCTCCTCTCTGGTCGAAGAATTCGGTGTCTGCAACGGCGGCAGTTTTGGAACACAGCAGCCTCGGTCAAGTTTTATCAGAGTCGGCGCTCTTGGGCTATTCGGTCGGTTCGAGAATGCGGGGGTTCCGCTGCGCACCAATTCGCCAGGAGCAGCGTGAATTGGAACGCGTTCGACATCAGTCAGACTTCTTCCGTGGATGATCCCCCTCGCGGCACCGTCGCTCATCGCATGAATGCGCACGAGCAGTTCTGGCGTGGAATGGGGCCCATGCCGACTGTTGAGCAGTGCCCCGGCCCTTGTGAGGGCCTGTCCTTACCAGCTGTTCAACCCGATGACCTTGCATCCTTGCCCGCGCCGCCCCTGGAACGCTACCGCCTGACGCGTCGCAGGTCTGGGGCTCGCGCTTCTGTCGGACTGGGCTAGGTTCATCCTCGTCACCGCGAGTGGCTTTCGGACGAGTCCCTGATATTGCTGCTCAAGCCTTGGGTTGCTATCCTACGTCTTGGGCGTTTTCTGAATATCTTAGCCTGGTTTGTTGTTAATCTATTGCCCAAGCCAGATGGGGGCGAGCGCGCGGTCGCGTTCTTCACCGCCATTGCGCGCGCCTTCACGCGACACTTTAGACACGCGCAGGGGATTGCGCGGGCTCAGCGTCATAGTCGACCGCGTGCATGCGGAGTGCGCAACCATTAGTGTCAACCGCGTGCGGCGCAGGATTCGCCATCGCTTGCTCATCCAGCGTTGCCGGCAGTTTCAGTACAACCCCGCACTCTTGAGAGTATTGCTGGGCTTGTACCGATCCCCGCGTATTCTTACCGTGCGCCGGAGCGCCGGACCAAGGATCTCTGCCGCTATCATTATTGTTGCTGGCTGCTCGTTTGCCGATTTGCTCATGCGCATCATGCTTATGCCAGAGCTGGACTCCTTACTTCGTGTGTATCCAGAATTGAATTGCACCTGGGAGTGGTTGCCGATGACGCTCAGGTCTTTGGAGTGGGCTCAGAAGCCGGGGTAATGCGCGCGGACCCACATGCCTCGCATCTTCCCATGGGCAAATTGACATACTGCGCCTCCCCCCCCCTTTCCGAGCCCAAGTTGGCGCCCCTTGCGTCGGATGCGATTTTGGTCAGAAGAATCGCAGCTGGGACTCCTCGGCTTGGGGGTGCCGCGCGTTTCTCCTGTAGGAACTTGGGCATCGACTTGCAGGTTCGTCGTGGGCGCCGCCCTCGTATTGTGCCGAAGTCTAGGATGTAAAAGGCAATGCAGAAGGTTCGCCGCCCTTTCAGATTGCGGCGCGCAGGGGGCCAGGTCCAGGGCATCATCAATACGAACCTTCGTCCGACGGTCACCGTCGGCATTGATGTAGTGGGTTTAATATTGAGCAGATCCGAAACGTATATCACGTTGGTCTTGGAACAGGCAAGCGCCGATCCGCCACCATGGATTTAGCCTTTCTAGGAGTGGCAGGCCCAGCTTTAGACGCTCGCACCGAAGTAGCTCGTCTCTGGATTGTATCGGATCCAGCCGTGGCGACGAGGAGCCTCCGGGAGGCCCCGTCAGATTCCCTGGACGTCCCTCCAGGGCCCTGCTGCTATTATGGTGGCTACCTTGCTCAGGATTGGATGCCCCTTTGAATCCCCGACAGTCGGGCATGCCGCAATTGGAATCAGTTTAGATTTTACGTATACTTCCCCTCGTGGGGTTGTGGCCTTAGTGGGACGGGCAGCCCGCGACTGGGCATGGCAGCAGGCGCCTGACAGACACCCACTGTATCACCATTTTGCTGGGCCCCATTTCCTGGACCCCATCAGGGCTTTGCAAAGCAGAAAAACCCCAGGTTGGAACGACCTCCAGCATCGTGTTTTGCGTGCCTTCTTGTTAGGGGTGTGTGTATGTACGTATATATATATGTGTGTGGTAAATCCGCAAGGGCTTCGCCCCATGCCGCCGGCCCCCTGTCTCGGCCTGGTTGTGCTGCCGTGGTTCGCCACTGCGCGCTGCGGGAGATCAACCTTACCATTCGTTTCAAAATGAAGCGACTAGCAGTTGCTGGCGTTGGACATCCTCCTCCCCCCTCTTCCTCCTCCTCCTCCTCCTCCTCCTCCTCCTCCTCCTCCTCCTCCTCCTCCTCCTCTTTCTCCTCCTCCTCCTCTTCCTCCTCCTCCTTCTCCACCTCTGCCTTCGCCTCCGCCTCCGCCTCCTCCTTTTCCTCTTCCTCCTCCTTTTCCTCCTTCTCTTCCGCCTCCGCCCCCGCCTTCGCCTCCGCCTCCGCCTCCGCCTCCGCCTCCTCCTCCTCCTCCTCCTCCTTCGTCCTCCTTCCCTTCCCAGCCTCCTCTCGGCCTTTTTTTTTCTTCTCCTCTTACTCCCTGCGGTATGCGCGCGGCCCGCCCCGACGGGTGCGTCCTCTGCTGTAGTCGTTCGGCGCGGCCCATCGCCGGCAGGGCTGGCCCGTCCCGCTGGCCCGTCGGATGTGCCACTGTGCTTCGCCGAGCAGAGCGGTTCAGTGGCGGGAGCAATCTACTCAGCACCTCCTCCTCCTCCTCCTCTTCCTCCTCCTCCTCCTCCTCCTCCTCCTCCTCCTCCCCCTCCTCCTTCTCCTCCTCCTTCTCCTCCACGCACCCTTTCCCTCCCTCCCCCCCTTCTCGGCGCCCGCGGGCATGGCGCCCCCACTGGCCGTCGGGGTGCGGCCTTCGGCCAACATCCAGCGTCGTGCGGGCTCGTATTGTGGGGACCCTTGCCAAGAAACGCCTTGCTTGCTTCCAGGATGCCCTGGTTTCGTTGGGTTTCGATGGTTTGCTGTGGAGAGCGCGACGTTCCCACGCCAAAAATCAGTGGACGCCCTGGGGTTTCAGGGTTTGGTCTTTTGTTGAAGGTTCCTTGTGGACTGGCCTCCACTGTGCTATGCAGCAGGGTGCATATCCCTTCCTCACCCCCCCTCTCGGCGGCCGCGGGCATGGCGCCCCCACCGGCCGTCGGGGTGCGGTCTTCGGCGAGCGTCCAGCGGCTCTACGTGGCGCCGGCTCGTATGTGTATCCTTCGCCTTCCCCTTGGAGTGGCATGGGCAAAAGTCCGGTCCCTCTCTCGCTCTCTCCCTCCCTCACCTTCGCTGGGATCCAGGAGTTAAACGTTCGTTTGGGGGGGCGTCTCTGAGAGCCACCTGGCTGTTCGTCTCCAGCTCGGCTCTATTTCGGTTCTACTTCGACTCAAGCTCGACTCAAGTTCGACTCAAGCCGACGGACGCTCGACGCAGCGTCGACGCATGAATGGAGCGAGTGGCTCGAGGAAGGCCCCCAGATCGAGATTGGGCATGAAGCATCGCGCGGGCTCGCATGCGTTCGCAATCAGATAGTTGCGTTTCTACCAACGCTACGCCACTCATTCATGGTTGAAATCGTTTATTTTTTGATTGGCTTTTTGTCGCCGACAGCTTCGCCAGTAGAATGTCATTACTGGGGAGGTTCCCGTTCCCTGTGAAGGCCGCGTAGTGAGTCCGGGTGCCCCAGGGGATTCCGGCGTGACTCTGGCGAGAAGGTGGCGCGGGGTCGGCGTGGCTTGGCGTGCGTGGGGAGCTTCGCGCATCGCGATCTCGGGCATGCATTCTTTTGAGCACGCATGGTGTTTAGACGATGTCGCCGCGAGTCGCCGAATATCGAGAAGGAACGAGGGGGAGGGAGGGGGAGGGAGGGGGGGGGAGAGGAGGAGGAGGAGGAGGAGGAGGAGGAGGAGGAGGAGGAGGAGGAGGAGGAGGAGGCGGAGGAGGAGGCGGAGGAGGAGGAAGAGGAGGAGGAGAGGAGGAGATCGAGGAGGAGGAGGAAGAAGAGGGGAGGAAGAAGAGGAGTAGGAGGAGGAGTATGAGGAGGAGATGAGGAGGAGGATGAGGAGAGGTGGGAGGAGGAGGCCGAGGAGGAGGAGGAGGATCGATGAGGAGGAAGGAGGAGGAAGAAGAGGAGGAGGAGGTGGAGGAGGAGGAGGAGGAGGGGCCGAGGAGGAGGAGGAGGTGGAGGCGGAGGAGATTGATCGATGATGATGAGGAGGAGGAGGAGGAGGAGGAGGAGGAGGAGAAGGATCGATGAGGAGGAGGAGGAGGAGGAGGAGGAGGAGGATCGATGAGGAGGAGGCGTTGCGAGGAGTCGAGGCGCGATTCTGGGCCCCCCCCCCCCCGCTCGGCCTCGCAGGCCACCGGCCAGCCCTGCAGGCCGCCGCCCGGGACCCGGGCGCTCCGCAGGGTCGGGTGCTGCGGCGGCTCCTGAGCCATCGCCGCAGCAGGGCCGCTCGCGCGCCACGGCCCCCCCGCCCCACGTCGCCCACGGGGGGGGGGAGCTCAAACGACGCGAAGATCGGGACACAATCGGATCGGGGTAACTCGAAATCTCTGAGAATCGGCGGGTTTGGAGGATGTATTGGGCGCCGCGGCCGCTCCAGAGCGTTCCGGAACGCTCTGAGAGCGCTCTGGAACGCTCTGGAGCGATTTATCCCGATCCTAGCCCTGTCTTAGGAGCAGGAGTGGAGGGAGTAGGGGGGGAAAGGAGGATGGCTTTGGATCGTGTCGCTTCGGATCCCGTCCGGGGGGGGGGGGAAGGAAGAAGGATGGGCGGAGGGGGGAGAGGGGAAAGTAGGGTGATGTTTGACGTTGTGGTTTGTGTTGTTGTGCGCGTGGTGTGGACGTGTTTATGTGTCGTGTGTATTGTGTGTTTGTGTGCCTGAGTATGTGTATGTGCGTGCGTGCGTGCGTGTGTGTATGTGTTGTGTATGTGGGGAGTGTGTGTGTGTGGTGTGTGTGTGTGGTGTGTGTTGTGTGTTGTGTGTGGTGTTGTGTTTGGTATGTGTGTGTGCGTGTGTGTGTGTGCGTGTGTGCGTGTGTGTGTGGGTGTGTTGTTTCGTTTGTGTGTGTGTGTCTGTGGTCTTGTGTGTCTGTGTGCTGTGTGTCTGTGTGTCCGTGTCTTTGCCTGTGTCTGCGTCTGTATGGGTGTCTGTGTTGTGTGTATCTCTGTGTGCGCGTCAGGCCCATCCCGACCGCCGCCCTCCGCAAAGTCGAACGGGCACCGCCTTTTGCTCCCCCCGCCGGGCCCACCTCCAGCCAACCCCATCGCCGCGTCAGCGGATCGCCCTCACACCGGCGAACCTTCGCGCGCCCCGTCTTGCCCCCCCCCCTCCCCCCCCGCACGCGTCTTGCCACGGACGGGCCTGCCAGCTCCTCGGGATCAGCCCGCGCCCCTGGGAGCGCCCAGATCCAGCGGTTTGTTGCCAACAAGGTTGTGCCCCACTGCCGTTGCACCACCCTCGGCGGCCGTTTTATTGCTGTCGAGTTGCGCACGCGGGCGGGACTCTGGCCTAAGGGCGGTTTGACCATCAAGGGTACCACCTACCCGTCGCCACACGCGTACTCTGGTGCCGAGCTCGAGGAGACCTTCGCTTCCCTCGGCTTTACCCTGCTGGCTGGTGCCTCTTCCCCTCGGGGCCCCCCGGCGCAGGGCGGCGCCCCCGCCGGGGAGGGACCTGCCCGAGGAAGCGGCCCGCCTCCCGCAGCGACCACCAGCATCTCTCGCATACATGGCGCCAGTGGCCTCCGCTTCGGAGCCCGGGCTAGCCACCGCGGTGGACTTCCCAGTACGAACCCGCCGCCCAACCTCTTCGCCCCTCTGGGCCTAGGGAGGGAAAGAAACACACAGACACAATTAATCGTCGACTCCCAGGAAAATATGCAAAAATATGGGAAGTGGTGGGGAAGACAGAAGCCCAGAAAATATGGGAAAATATGGGGGATATTTTTATTTGTGTGTATTTATTTGTGTGTTCCAGTTCCCCTTCATACTAGCGTGCACGCCCTGGCCTCCAGGGCGCCCCGGCCGCTGGGCCCCAGTGCGCTTCTTCGACCCACCAGGGGCCCTTGCCGGGCCCCTCCTGGGAACCTATAGCCCGCGGCCCCTGCCTTCGCGGCGCGGGCCCCTGCCCCCACGGGATCGGTTGGGACGTGAGGTGGCGAGGAACGGGCTCCTCCTTTGTCAGCTCCGGACCTCACCTTTCGTAGCTCTGCCCCGTGGCGCGCACCCCTGCGCGATATCTCAGCCTTCTTCCCAGGACCCGCAGGGCTACGGCCGCAGCTCGCCCTTCTGCCAGGGACGAGGCGGCCCCCTCGGTTCCTGACCGGCAGGACCCTCTCCGCTGCGGCCCCTGTGCTGCCGCTGCGGTCCCAAACTTTCTGCCCCCGCGGTGCCACCCCTCCGCTCTCCGCCCTCCGTCCCCAGACCCCCGACGTCATGAATTTTTCATGACGTCGACCCCCAGCGGTCTGGACCCATCCCCCGGGACCGGTTTTTCGTCCTAAGTCGTTTTTTGACGGTCCCGAGGGCCGGTAAGGGCCCCCAGAGGCCAAAAATAATGAAAAACCTCCCGTCGTGATTTTTTCATACTTCGAGGGGGTCTGGGTCTGCCTCCGCCCCCCCTGTTCGCCCCAGCCCCCCCTTTCCGGGGGCCCGCCACTGGCCGCTCCCGGCCGCCGCCGCTTCCGGCGCGCTGCCGGGCCCTGTCGGCTCTCGCGGCTCCTTTCTCAGGAGGGGAAAGAACACAGACACAATTAATCGTCGACCCCCAGGAAAATATGGGAAAATATGGGAACTGGTGGGGAAGACAGAAACCCAGAAAATATAGGAAAATATGGGGAATCCTTTTATTTGTGTGTATTTATTTGTGTGTCCCAGTTTCCCTTCATCCTTGGGCCTGCGGCTTTTTGCGGCTCCGCCGCCTTCGGCTCGCTCCCCGCCGTCGCTCCTTGGCGCGCGCCGTTGTCGGCCCACGCTGGGCTGCTCGCCCTCCCCGCCTTCCAGTCCTGGTTGGTTTACGTCACCTTCCGGCCGTCCGCTCGCGGCCCCTCCCCGCTGTTGTGTTGTTGCGCTGCTGTGATGTGGTGTGGGTGTGTCGGTGTGCTGACGTCTTGGTGTGCAGGTGAGTGTAATTGTGTGTGTGCTGCTGTGTGTGCTGTGTGCTGTGTGTGTTTGTGTTGTTGTTGCTGTTGTTGCTGTCGTGTGTTGTGATGAGTTGTGTTGTGGTGTGGGCTTGTGTCTTGCTGTGTGTTTGTGTGTGTGTGTTGCTGTCTGCATTCAAGAGTGTGTGGTGTGTATGTGTGCATGTAGTGTTGTATGTGTTGTTGTGTGTGTGTGTGTTTTTGTGGTGGTGTGCTGTTGTGTTGTTGTGCGTGTATGTTGTTGTGGTGTTTTGTTGGTGTGTTGGTGTGTCGGTGTGTTGATTCGTTGGTGTATTGGTGTGTTGGTGTGTGCTTTTTTGTGTGAATTGTTGTGTGTTGTGTGTGGTGGTGTTGGTGTTGTCGTTGTTGCTGTTGTTGTTAAGGGTGTGCGTGTCTTGCTGTATGTGTTGTTGTGCGCGTTTTTGGTCGAGGGCTGTTGTGTGGTTGTGTTGTTGTGCTGATCCTTGTGTTGTTGTTATGCTGTTCTTTTGGTCTGCTGGTGTGTCGGTGTGTTGATGTGTTGGTGTGTCGCTGTGTGTGGTGTTGTGTGTATTGCTGTGTGTTGTGTGTTGTGTGTGGTGTGTGCGTGAACTGTTGTATGCGTTGTTGTGTGTGTTTGTGGTGGTATGTTGGTGCGTTGTTATGTTGTTGCGCTGTTGTGTTACTGATATGGTGCTGCTGTGTTGATGTGCTTGCGTGTCGGTGTGTTACTGGGTTGGTGTGTTTGTGTGTTGGTGTGTTGGTGTGTGTGTGTGTGTCGTTGTGTGCGCTGTTGTGTGTGTTGTGTGGGTGTTGAGTGTTGGTGTTGGTGTTGTCGGTGTTGTTGTTGCTGTATGTGCGTGTGTTGATGTGTGTGGTTGTGGTGGTGGGCTGTGGTGCGATGGTGTTGTTGAATGGTTGTTGTGCTGCTGTGTTGGTGTTCTGGTGCGTCGGTGCGTTGATGTGTTGGTGTGTTGGTGTGTCGCCGTGTGTGTGTTGCTGGGTGTGTTGCTGTGTGTGTTGTGTGTGTTGTGTGTGCGTGTGTGTATGTGTTGTTGTGCGTGCGGTGTTGTGTTTGTGTGTGCGTGTGTCTGTGTGTGTGTTGTTGTGTGGTCTTGTTGTTTGGTGCGTGGTTGTGTGTGGTAGTGTGTGTGTGTGTGCTTGTTGTCATGTGTGTTGCTGTTGTTGTCGTGTGTCTTGTGCGTCTGGTCTGTATGTATGTATGCATGGCTGTGTGTGTGTGTGTTGTATGTGTGGTGTGTGTGGAGGGGCGCGGGGGGAGTCTCTGGAGGCGTCCATCGATTTATCTCTCTCGTTCTGTTTGTGCTATTGTTTCGTTGCGTCCCTCGCTCTCTCTCACCCTCTCGTTGTTTTTGTTGTTTCCTCTTGGTGCGTTTATGTGATGTTTCTCTCTTCCTCTTTCTCCCTCTGTCTCTCTCTCTCTCTCTTTCCCCCTCTTTCCCTCTCTCTCTCATTCTCTCTATACTCCCTCTCTGTTGCCCTCTCATGCCGTATATATATATATATACATGTAGGGGATAGAAAGTTTGATATCCTGTGGCCGCTGCTTGCTAGGTGTTGTGCAGACTGCAGTCGACCAGTCAGTGGTTTGCGATCGAATCTTCGTGCACGTCAAAAAAAACAGTCGGGCCAATGGATCTCTCTGGATGGATCTAGCTTGAGAGATCCTGCGCAATGATGGGGTTGAGATCCCCAAGCGATATTTTCTCGCGACGTCCGTCCACTCTTCCTTCCTCTTCTTGTCCGTCCTCCCTCCTCCGCCTTTCCCGCATTATTTTCCTTATCGTCCTCGCCGTCCTTCCTCACCCCCCCTCCCGGACTCCTCTTTTCGTATCTCAAGGTGGTGCATGCTCCCTCCACGAACCGATACTGACGGCGATGTAGGCAGCACATATGGTGGCTGCCAAAGGATGTGGGACGATACCAGAACAATCGCATATGCGGAAGCACTAGTTTGGATATGGAGATGGGGGGTTAGGAGTACGACGAGGACGAACAGGAAAAAGGAAGATATGCAGTAGCAGCAGAAGTCGTAGGGCGGGTTTCTTCTTTCGGCTCGCCTCCTTCCTCTCTTCAGCCTTCTGCAGCTGCAGTTGCCCAGTGCAGGGAATCGCGGCCTTGGGCGCTTGATGGTGGCCCCCGTTCCGCCCAGAATTCGTCCAGTTTGCGCATCCCGCGCTTGTCCACGCCAGCTGATGATTCTGGCCATGTCTAGTTTTTTGTTGTTGGATGCGCTGATTTTCCGGGGTGCCGCTGCTTGTGTTGTATAGTGGCAAGCCAGCAACCCCGTGCGGAATGTGTGCGCTTTCATTGAATGCCGATAAGGGTCCAGTAATGGAGATGGCGTTGGCTGTATGCTTGCCCTCGTGGAAAGAAACGACGCGCTAGAGACCACAGAATGATAGCATGCATGTAAGATGTCGAAGTCAGTTGATCGAGGGAGACCCGGGAATGTGCCAGGATAGGAGAATAGAGGACATGGTCGGAAGAGTGCCACAGGGAGAAACAGAGAGAGAGAGAGAGAATTGGGAAGTGTTTCTGTGTATGTGTGCGTATGTATCTAGATGAACATATATGTATAGAAAAACAATCGTGACAAATAGGGTACCCTGGCATGTTATGTGCATGCTGATCGACATGTGTAGTTCTCACAGAGAGATAGTGCAGGACGAAACGTATAGAGATCTGATGTTTATGCATTGAGTTGCTGTGAGGAGGGGCTTGCCCAGCGGGACTTCGAATTCGGTGACGCCGCTTGAAAGATCGGCGGCGAGCCTGATTGGAAGTGCGCAGGGGCGAGCCTTCTTGGAAGGCTCGGAGGTCCCCCGGCCTTCCCGAGCAGTTCCCTGAGCCTGCCCCGAAGGCTTAGAAAAGCTGCTCAGAAGGCGCGAGGGATTCTGAGAAGCCCCGCCGCCTGCCGAGCAGGCCTCCTCCTCCCCACTCCCCCCCCCCCCCCGCGCTCGCCGCCGAACAACAAAAGCGCACCGGGAGAGCGAGTCGCGCAGGCCTCCTGGGCCCCCCCCGCCCTCCCCTCCTGGACGTCTGTGCGCCTTTCGCCTGTCCCCATCCCGCTGCACTCGGCACAGCGTCACAGACCCTGAGGAAACGCATCAACTTCGGGGCTCCTTTCGGTTCCTCCGATTCGATTCGGTTCGATCCCGACGGCCTCCAGCTCCGATCCGGTTCGGCTGCGGATGCCGATGTCGAGCCCGATTTCTCGATGGTGGGTGTACTACCAGCCTGCGGAATTCTGCCGATTGACTTCTCCCGACTCGGCTGCCGATTTCCGCCGATCCGATTCATTTCGATCGCCGATGCGACTTGCCGATTCGATTCTGGCAGGTCTCGTCCAAAAGAATCAAACCTCTGGACTGGGCCCCGGGCGTTCTCTTGGAGCTTCTCTTCTTCGTAGACTGCTCGCAATGCCTCGACCTTGACTGGTGGTTCTGGAAACGCCTCAGGTGACTGACGTCTATCCTCTTGTGTGTGAAGACCGCTCATCTCCCCTTTCTGTCCATCTATCCTGCTATCCTCTCGGCTCAGGTATTGGACGTATTGAGCGCCCTTGTTTCGACGGGCGCATGGACAAAAGAGTTTCATCGTTTCTCCCTATCGTCCTCTACCTACGGACCCTACGGTAGGTTCGACGCATTGGTCGTTAACTTCCGTTCACACTTCGTGGCCTCGATACTCCGACATGCACTCTGAGCAGGGGCGTACGCCCTCTGGCCTGCTGCTCCTCCTCGGTGGTCCTGGCCTCCCGTCCCCCCCATTCATGGAGACAGTTATCGGGTTGGGAGGATGGGGTTGGGAGGAAGACGGACGTCCTTACCCGCTGGCGGCCGAAGGTATCGCTCATTGCGTCCAGATGCGATTGCTCATACAGTGGGGGCCCATGCCAAGAAGCACCATGCTTGCCTCCAGGGTGCCCTGGGTTTCTTGGGTTTCGATGGTTTTGCTGTGGTAGGCGTGACATTCCCAGATCAAGAATCCATGAACGCGTGGCGTTCCTGACCCAAAAAAGTCCATGGACGCCCTGGGGTCTCAGGGATGTTTTTTTGTTGCGGAAGGTTTCTTGTAGTCGGGCTTCCACTGTACCCTTCATCCTCCCAGCCCTTTTCTCCCAATATTATAATCGGGCCTGTCCCTCTACAGGGGGAAAATTCAAAAAGAGTCAAACAATAGTCTGGGGACGATTTGTTTTGCATGTTTTTACAAGTGTGGGGGTATTTTGATTGGAATTTCTTATTTGTCTCCCCAAATCCGCCTGTAGGGGGACAGGCCCGACCTAAGATGAGAATCGTCCTCCTCACCCGTGCGTCCCTCCACCCGCGCGCGGCGCGCCCCGCTCAGTTCGCACCGCCCGCCTTCGCGCCGAGCCCCCGCCCCTCGTCCTTCTCCCTCCTCCCCCTCCTCCTCCCCATCCTCCTTCTCCTCCTCCTCCTCCTCCTCCTCCTCCTCCTCCTCCTCCTCGTCCCCCTCCTCCCCCTCCTCCTCCTCCCCCTCACCCTCCTCCTCCTCCGCTTCCTCCGCTTCCTCCGCTTCCTCCTCCTCCTCCTCCTCCTCCTCCTCCGCCTCCTCCTTCTCCCCTTTCCTCTCCTCTCGGGGACCCCCGGGCTCCCCTGCGGGCTCTTCTCGGCTTGGGCCTCCCCTTCTCCTTGCCTCGCGGTAGGAGGACGATCAGGCAGCTCCCCCGCGCTCCTCCCCCTCTCCCCGCCTCCCCTTCCCCCTCGTTCCTCCCCCCCGTTCTATCCTCAGTTCCTCCCCCCTCGTTTCCTCCCCCCTCGTTCCTCCCACCTGTCCCCCCCTCGTTCCCCCCCCTCGTTCCTCCTCCTCCTCCTCCTCCTCCTCCTCCTCCTCCTCCTCCTCCTCCTCCTCCTCCTCCCCTCTTGGGAGGGAGGCACAACAGTCCGAGGAGGGCCAAAGGTCGAACTCCAGGCCCCTCTGTTGGGGCGCTATCTGTCCACCACTCCGATGGGAATCCAGCCGCGGGGGCAAGAATGCCCCCCTGAGGGCCAATAAGGCCCAAAAGCTTGACCAAACCGTGATATTCGATCAGGGAGGGAGGCGTCGGACTCGTATGAATGTCGGCGGCGAGTCGGGGGATCGTGGAAAGGGGCGGGCCCTTCAGGCTCGCAGGTCCCCCGGCCTTCTGAGAAGTTGTTTGAGCCTTCCCCGAAACACGCACACAAGGAACAGTTCCGAATGCCAGAGGCATCCTGAGAAGACCCAGCGCCTTCTCCTCCTCCTCCTTCTCCTCCTCCTCCTCCTCCTCCTCCTCCTCCTTCTCACTTCCCCTTCTCACTCCTCCTCCTCCTCCTCCTTCTCCTCCTCCTCCTCCTCCTTCGCCTCCTCCTTCTCCTCCTTCTGAGAAGGCCTCCTCCTTCTCACTTCCCCCCCCCTCGCTCGCCGCCGGACGCGTTCGATTCCAAGCCAGCTCTCGCGGGGGCCCCTCGCTCCGCGAAGGCGGGGGCGCGGCGCGGCGCGGCGCGGCGCGACCAGGGCGCCGCGCTCGAGGATCTGGCGCGGGCGCGGCACGTGTTCAAACGACGCGAAGATCGGGACAAAATCGGATCGGGATAACTCGAAATCTCTGAGAATCGGCGGGCTTGGAGGATGTATTGGGCGCCGCGGGCGCTCCAGAGCGTGCCGGAACGCTCTGAGAGCGCTCCGGAACGCTCTGGAGCGATTTATCCCGATCCTAGCCCTGTTTTGCGTGTGCGTCACATCGGTCGGGGGACCTCGGAGCGCGATGTTCGCCGGGGGGGGGGGGGCGCCTCAGCAGTGGAGGCCCCTGCCGAGGAGCACCCTGCTGGCCCGCAGGGTGCCCCGGGGGTTCTTGGGCTTCGAGGGTTCCGCGATGGAGGGCGCGACGTCCCCGCGCTAAAGAAATCAATGGACGCCCTCGGGTCTCAGGGTTGGGTTTCATGTGGGGGGTTTCTTGTGGACTGGCCCCCACAGGATCCGCAAATGGGGTGGCGCGTCTCTGCGCGACCGGGGCGCGTGCTCGTGGCCGGCGGGGATCCCGCGCGGGGGCGGGGCGGCTGCGCCGCTTCGGCGAGGGCGTCAGAGCGCGATCTGTCGCGCGGGGGTCTCGAGCCGCGAGCGGGGTGGCGCCTATAGCTGCTCGACTGGACACGCGGTCGTGCGCGCGGGGGGTCCCCGCGGATGCGTGTCGGCCGCGTCGCAGCTGCGTCGCACCTGCACGCATCTCGCTGCGTGATCAGAGCGCGGGGTGGTGGTGGGGTCTGTCTGAGACGAGAACCCGGTTGAACTGCTTGTTCGGGATCCCTCAGGCTGCGCTGAGATTAGTTCTCTGGGATTCCGCAGGGTCGCTAAAGTTTCCTCCAGTTTCGTTATGGAGCTTTCAGGATCCCTCAGGGGTCCTCAGATGTTTCGGGGCTCCTCAGGGACTTTCGAGACCCTTCAGATTTTTGGGGGTTCCCCAAGACTTTTCTGGATTCTTCAAGCTTCCAGAAGATCCCGCGATACCCAGAGGATTCCTCAAGGTCCCACACGGTCTCAGGATTCCCCAGTGTTCCGCTGGACTTTAGAATTCATCAGCACTCCTGATGTTTCCTTTGGTTTCCATGGGTATCCACTGGTCCCCTGGAGATTTCTGAAGATTCGCGAGGGTTCCGCAGTATTCCTCAGGATCTCGCCTGAAACCATCCCAGAGTGGGTCCCCGCATGATATATCTCTGGATAATCGCGCCGTGGAAACGGTTTTCCCTTTTCCCTTACAAGCCGCAGAGGCTCCAGGCACTTCAAGAGAGAGAGAGAGACAACAAAAAAGAGAAAGAGAGAGAGAGAGAGAGAGAGAAAGAGAGAGAGTTAAGCCCTGTAGCCCATTTCAGAGCTCCGCGCTGGGTGACTCCGCTGTGGAGAAGGAGTCATTCCA